TCCCTTCCAACCCAAACTATTCTAAGATTTTATGATTTCCTCTGATAATTAACCTTAAGATTCCCAGAATTGATTTGTTGATGCAGCAGTGCTATTTACACAACACCAAACACCCTTCATCTTACAGAAACTACACATGCAAAGTTTGCCTGGCACATTTCTCAAACACTTACCAAGGTAAATGTCATACCCATGACTATTGGCACGAATATGAAGTTAAAGGTGGTGATCTGCAGTAGACAGCAATCCTGATCTGGATTTGTATGGACTTCTTCATACTGAATCGGTGGCTGAAGACCTTTGCAGCACTTGCTCTTAAATCTGGGAGACTTGAAAGAAAGAGAGACCTATTTAGCTAAGTTGGAACCTATGATGAGATCTTGGCTGCTTCTCACTGGTGCTGACTAGCAGGTTCTCACCGCATTCCCACGCGTTTGGGCAGAGCATTACACAAACAAAAAGCCATCACTCAGGATAGGCAATTTGCAGGACCATTTCTTTAGAGGGGAAAGTTGCAGAATTCCCAAGGTTGCCTGAAACTACTTGCTTCTCCTGAGACCCATTACTGGAGGTTTTCACTGGCAGTGTTGGCTTTCTTCAATTCTCTGGGAAATCTTTCCAACGGTAAAACAAGAAGTTTCAGATTTTGGTCTACGTTTTGACCACTAAAGTCAAAGAGTCTGTTTCTTGGGAGTAATCAGTAGATTATTTGGGGTAACAAATAATCCACATCTTACAGTGGAGAAAGGACACCAAATGAGGAAATAAAAATGTAGGATTCTAAATGTCTTTATAATACAGACTGAAAGCTGAGTGTAGTTTCAGAATGTGCTTCAGTTCATCACGGGAGTCAGAGTTTCCATTTATTGTCTGAACGCATAAAAAGTTTCCACTTCCCTTTCTACCAACCAGAAAAATCATTACTGCTCCCAAAAAAAAAGTCATGGCCATTCTGGTTCTTCTTTCATACCTGCTTTTTGAATTTGAAATTGAATTCCCACATTGCTTCTTGTCTGTTCCCTTCAATCTTTTTGCACCAGAAAAGCAGACACTGAGGTGGGGAAAAAAAAAAAAACAAAACAAAACAAAAAACACAAACACAAAATTATGAAACCCTTAGAGGCACCAATTTAAATAAGTTTTAGCAGAGCATAAAGGCTTCCAATTACAAACACAATTACGTAGGAGCAGTTAGGAGACATTTATTCAAATTAATTACATTCAAAGAACACACTCAGCAGTTTAGGTCTCCCAGTTTCAAGTTGGCCAACTCATCATGCAACTGGATGACACAACACATAGCCACTGACATAAAAAACATTGTGCAGTTTGTCCCTTTCACAGGGCAGAGATGAGCGGTACAGATTCACCCACCCACCAAGAACTCCCATTAAACTGGACTTCAAACAAGACTAAAGCAAGGAACAACTGAAAACAGAATAAGGATCAAGAAGGAGAGAATCCAGAGGGAAATGCAAAGAACAATATGTGAGCTATAAGGTGACAGATGAGGAAGTTCCTAAGCCACTGTGGTGTCAAAAGAAGGTCATGACATCACTAGGCACTGACTGTCATACTTCAGAGTATAAAAACACTGCCAGGATAGCACAGTCTGATCAACTAACTGTCCCTTTTTAAAAGAAAATGAGAAAAAGGCCTCCAACAGCATCACAGGTAACCATCACTGCCCTCTCATGCAGACAAACACCAGGAGTCCTCCAATTTAATCCAGTTATCACTCTGTGGTCCACAGGATCCATATCAGCAGAAGTTCTAGAGCAGGAGTCTCAGCAGAACTCCTGTATTAAACTGAGTAGGAGGGAAACTCCCTGCTTACCAGTGAATAGAAGCAACTACCATTCAACAGCTGAGAAAAGAATCTGGCAAGTCAGTCCTGCCATCACTGAAAGTGTTTCCACAGCACAGATGCCAGCCCACCACAGCTGGTCTTATCATTTAATAGTGTCAGCAGTAAAAGGAAGAATAACGTGGGTACAGACAGCTCCCCATGACCCATACACAGTCTCTCCCATGCCAAGAGAAGGTCAGACTGGGTTGCAGGGCGAAGCACACATTTGATTTCATTCCAGGATAGCATGACCCCAAATGAAACAAAGCCAGAGCCAACCTCCACCACAGGGGCTCCGTCATTAGAAACTACAGGTGATAAGAGAACCTTTACTTCAACTCTTGAGTAATGTCCATAAACAAGAGTCCTTAAAGGACCTTTATCTTGACAATCTTCATGAGGTGAACAACAAGCTATGTAGAGTCAAGCTCAGAAACACCCATCAAGTAACCTCCACCTGAGAGGTGGTCCTCAATTTTTTCAGAAAAAAAAAGTTCTCCAGATCTTTTTTAACTCAGGTGAGCAGCAGATGCTGCCGAGCTTAACTCCGCCACTGGTGGCATTTGTAATTCACCTGCAGAGACAACCTGGTCTAGCAACTTGTTTGGTCATGGCAAGTAGTGAATCACAAAACGGTCAGTACCTCCTAAGGGGCAGAGGATGTCATCCACGGGTCAGCCGTCCTGCCCTTCAGACGCGCCGTATGGCCTGCCGCTCCACCAAAAATAATGGGGGTGTCTTTAAAGGGCAAACACTTCTGCTGACACCATAACGGCTCCAGTGTCCCACACAAGCTAGGCTAGGGGAAGAAAAAAAGAAAATAAAGAGGAAAATCTAGATTTGATAACACCCGGGTCTGGGGGTCTCCTCTTGCCACATGCAGTTTATGTAGGCATTTTCCATTAGTTTCAATGACCCGTAAGGGTATAACCAAAGCCCATGAAAGCAAGAACATGGGGAGGCAATGTCAGATCCTCCTCCGTACCCACTGTGCCGAGGCATTTCTGTGCACAGTGATACAGGTGGAGCTCAGAGTCTTGCAATGCAGTAGTACAGCAAGACCAGACTCAGGGTAGTTCTATTACGCTCCAAGGGTTAGGTCAAACCTCTACTGTTCTAACAAAGCCTCGTCAACGTTTAATTTCCTTTTTTAAAAGCTGAATAATAAATTATAATAAACTCATTTAAGAATCTTCCTCAAACCGTTAGTACAGTAGAAGCACTAGCAGTGGGCACCAAAGCCGTTATGATGTCAGCGTGAATGCTTCCAAAATGCCAACCTTGCCAGCATCATCTGAGAGTTTCTATCTCTTACAGCCATACTACCAGATCTGAGCAGTGGTAGGAAGTTAGACTCAGAAGGACTAAGGTTAAGACGGAATTTCCTAGCAATATTTTGCTTTTTCTTTTTTAAGAAAGATGATACCCAAACTGAGGACTCAGAAAGAGAATGAAGAGCTCTGGATGCAGAGATAAGACTACACACAGAACTGCGTGCTTTTCTCCTGCTCTGCAGCACCACCTGCTTGTGTTACTGCTGGATGTTCCCGAAGCGGTGTGACTTTTTTTTCCAGTATCCACCCAGAGAGAGGAAGGAAGAAAAGAGGGATGTCACATACAGATAGATGAGGTTGCTCTTTTTTGCATGGAAAAGAAAGTACAACTCTTGAACCAAAACCACTTCAGTTTGGCTCCAAAAACCTCATTCAACAGGTTTTTGACTTTGGATTTGGAGTGTGGAGAATTCAAATCATTGCTTAAGCTGCTCACAGAGTATCAGCCAGTTGCAAGTTAAAACCAAACAAGAGACACAGAGGCATTTCAGAGTTAATGGTCAACAGTGGTTAAAGAGGAATGGATATGCAAGTGTTCCAAGCTGGGATAGCAAAGGGAATTGCCTGCCCACACCAGAGACAAACCCTTTACAGCCCAACACAACGGCAGCCCCAGCCCAAAGCAGATACTCGCTCTGCACGTTTGCCATGCTCACAACCTCACTACCCTCCCTTGCCCAGACACCAAAGACGACGGATGACCTACAGGAACGTAGTATGAAATGACTCTTTCAGAGGCTATCAGTGTCACTTCCGATCTCTCCAGATGCCTGCTATGGAGAAAAGATGTATTCTGGCAGACAGTGTCAGAATAAAGCAGAAGGTATAAGCTGATTCTACTGCCACCTCCTTTCAGCAAGAAGTTTGCCACAGAGGAGGGGAGAGCTGCAAATATCCCTAGCAGTTCTGACATTCAGTGAAGCAAGTGCTTTTTGCTGGTTACAAAGATGCTGTAGTAGGACTTATGCAGGAGTTACGCAGAAGAGTAACTAGAATTCTCTGCAGCAGCAACTATGTAAGATTCAAGTAACCAGCATACTTTAAAACAAAATCACTCTTCAGAGTTAGTAATCATCCTACAGCCAAGCTTCACTGGCGACCACCTAAACACCATCTATTTTTCGTCTAGAAAGAGAACAGAAGAACGGAAAGAGCAACATCTCAGACATATCCAACTTCCTTAGCAATTCCACTTACTCTGGAATTTTTTAAAGTGCTGGGAGTACTGTCTGGAATAGCTGGATTCCTGGAGACTCGAGACGCAAAAGGCTCGTACATGTGGTACAGCGACCGGATGACACACGCACGGAGACAGTGCAGCTTCTCCATGGACTCTGGCCGCAAGCGAAGAGGCAGGTACGCATCCAGACTGTAATGCCTGAAAAGCCAACCACAAACCCAACACGTGCTGAAAGGTCAGAATGACAGACATGGAGAAGAGAGCTATGAAGAGATCAATGTTAAAAGAGAAAATTGAACATCTGATTGATCAGAGGACCTCTTGTCAACCCCGAGTGCTTCAAGGGTGCTGTACTGCTCTACATGAAATCACACAACAGTCTCAAAGACTCTACCTGCATCAAACACGTTTCCAGCATACACAGAAGCATATCATGCTACAATTCCCTAATAACTCCTTGCAAACTGTTTGCTCAGAGAGATTAGATGTTTTAGCTGCAGGATGCACAATGGCCTGCAGATTCCTGCAGGTTCTCAAGGACTCACTTTAGCTGAGCTTGACTGCATGCTTGCAGACAACTGCCTGAGCAGTCTGACTGCCTGTGCTCGAGGCTCATTCTTTGACGAGATGCCAAATGAGCCTTTGCTGGGAACTTCCCACTAAAAAACAGGAGTGAGGATGGTTACAGCTGCTGCTATTTGCTCTGTACTCCTGCTGATTGCACCTCCTGGGCAACAGATATAGAAATATAAACAAATATTCTGTCCTGAAGGAAAGTCCAAGTGACATGCACCAGGACACAAGGATTTGGTTGAAGTTTTGACCACCTCTTTGCTCTTCTTTTCTTACTTTATTTATAACTTACTACTGCCACCGAGACAGCTCCAAAATGCCTTAGTTTCTCTCAGGCCACCCTAATTACAGGACGGTGCCCATGATCAAAGCTTGAGGCAGGGCAAGTTTTCTATCAGTGACGTTTGCCTGTCCTTTAGTAAGGTAATGGCACCGAGTGCTTTACACACAAAGCACACTGTTACAAAAAAAAAAAAAAAAGTGTGTAGGCCATGGCAAGCAGAAAAACACATGATGCTTTGAGATTTTATACAGAGCAAAGGAATATGCCGCACAGATCCATTTCCAGATACAAAGCAGATGCAATATACCACAACCCCTTGCCAAATGAGGCCTGCATCACCACATCAATGTGCAAACATTAGAGGACCCTAGCCTATAGGGAATTATTCCCTTATTTACAGCTCTGCAGAGACCTAGTCATTGCTGAAGCCTCCTACAAAGAGTTTAAAAATTTTGTAGAGTCTCACCTTCTGTAGAGTCTGGTCCAAAAGGCAGCAGTGCAAGTAACAGTCCAGGCTTTCTTGCAAATCAAAGAAAACCGGACAATGTCTTCAGGGCGAATGTAGGAAGCCAACAACAGCCAGATATCAATGGGATATTCTTCTCCGCCACCCCCATCAGGATTTTCTAAATGCAATGAAGGTATGTTAGTGTATTATCAAGTCACATCTAGAGGTGTGTGCTTTACTGCCAATAGCCCAGGGTAAGCAGCTGAAATATGTATATACACAGAGTCAGCCAAACAAGCCCAAGTTAGCACAACTTCATTATCACTGCTACCAGTTTTCATCAGCAAGCACTTGCCCATCTGCACAAGCATTACACTTTCCCTTTGCTGGATATATGCCATCATTTATTCCTGC